TCAATATTACACCGAGAGCAACTCTGCTTATATTTCAAAGTCTCAGGGATGACTCTCATTGGTCTCACTTGAGTCACACGTCTATTTCTTCCCCCGTTGTGGCCAGGGGGTAGAAAATGCTCTGACTGACAGGGCTGAGTTGGCCCTGAGGTCCTAGCACATGAACTGAGAGTGGGGGAAGGTCAATTTCCCACAAAAAACTGGGTGCCAGGTCCAGAAGGGAAGCTGGGTGCTGAGTGGGCAGGATGCAGATGCCACCTGTAGGGGGGGCTTCCACTTTAGGGGATGCCAATCCACTTCTATTCCCACCCAAAATTCGAGTCCTGGAAACATAACCTCAGATGTGCTCCCTCACCTCTTCCTGATCAGGGACCAATGCTGAATAATATTCCATTGTGTGATGAACCAAATTGTGTGTATCAACTCATCTGTTGATGAACATGTAGGTTGGCTATTGTGGCAAATGCTGCTGTGGACATGGGTATTGGGTGTACAAATCTCTGAGTTCCTGCTTTCAATTCTCTTGGGTATATGCTTAGAGTAGAACTGCTGGGTCACAGGGTAATTATATTTAACTTTTTGAAGAAACACCAAATTGTTTGTGATAGACTGCCGCACCATTTTACATCCCTACCTGTGTGTCTTTTTTAATTTTGAGAAATGAAAAATGGGCAGAAAGTTACATTGAAGAGATTCTTTTATTTTTCCGTTAGGGATTCACTTTATGATATGTAGAAAATTTAGGCAGTTTTTTATGACTTGTTAATCAAAGATCATCAGATTGTTGTTGTTTTTTACTAATCAACAAACAGGGGTTTTTAGACCTGGATTTTTTTTTCTTTACTTAGAAATGGGGTTAAACTGGGGTTTTCCAGCCTTGGCAGTGTGGACGTTTGGGCCGGTCCTGTTTAGAGGGAGCGTCCTGTGCACTGCAGAGTGCTGAATGGCATCCCTGGCCTCCAGGTTTTGATGCCATTTGATGTTAGGTGCACCGCCCAGCCAAGACAGCCACAAATGTCCCCAGACGTTGCCCCTGGTTGAAAAATCACTGGTTTAAACCTGTTTAACTAAAATGAATAACTAGATTTGCTCATAAAATATGCATGTTTTGTCCAGGAAAGTAAAGAGGCCCTCTTCGCCTACTGTACAGATGGGAAAACTGAGGCCCGGAGTTGGCCAGGGCCTCAGCCCAGAATGGGAAGTTAATTCCATCCAGTGGGGCAGCCTCTCCGGAACTGAGCTCTGTGAGCTACTGCAGCGGGGGTCGTGTGCCCCTCTAACTCCGTTCCCTTACTCGGCTGATTTTTCCAAAAGGCCGCCTTCCCGCCCCTCCCCCGCCCACGCCCCATAGGGTCTCGAACCCACAACGAAAAGCACGCTGGGCGCTCCTGCGGGTCACGAGACCAGCAACCCCCACATAGGTTGGCAGTGGGCACACTTGTTGTCCTCAACCCTACTCCCCAGCCAAGGCGATTGTCTGGATGAGTTTTCTCTCAGACGCTCTCTCAGAAGCAGAAGAATGAAAGAAGCAACCTCACGCGTGCGCACAGGACAACCCGGCTCCTGGTGCCCCTCCTCCTTCTGCGCTTGCGTGCGCCCCTGAAGCGTGGTGATCAGACCCCGTGTGTCCAGCTGTTTCCGGCGCGCCCTGCCCCCGGATCATCAGGGCCTGCCCCTGCCACCAGGCTGCGGGTTGACCTGCCTCTTGTGCGCTTTGGGCGCAGGTCCCTAATCTTGACATACATACTAAACATTGGTGGTCCTTCTGCTCTTATAGGAAGTGTGAGTTCTCAAGGCCTTTTCTTACCCCGACCGCGGGATAAGAGGTCTCTCCCAAACCCAACAGCCCAAGGTTCTCCAACTCTTATTGCGCAGAAGGCCCCCTTGTAGGGTGTCAGGCCTAGCAGACGCTCAGGGCGCCCCATTAAATTCTAATTTCACTAACGAATAATTTTTTTTAGTATGTCCCAAAAATTGCATGGGACACACTTATGCTAAAAAATTCTCCCCTCTTCTAGAATTCGAATTTAACGGTATCCTACTTGTTATCTGGCGACTGCACTCCATTGGGGAGTTTGTTAGAAATGCAGATTTCGGCCCTCTCCTCTTTGTAGAGCCAGGACCTCGAAACTGCGTTAGGAATGGTGCGTGCCTCTGAGGCTCCAGCACTGGCTGTTCCTTCTGCTCAGGTCTCCCTACCCTCCTTGCCTGGCTTCCAGGCCCTGCTCTCAAGAGCCCTCCTGCTGCCACAGACAGGGCACAGGTCCCTCGAGGGGCTGTGGGATTGTTTATCAGTCCAGGACAGTTCTCTTGGCCTCGCTCACTTTCTGCCCCTGCCCCCCTGCGTGGTGGTGATGGATCCCCATTTCCCAGAGGAGAAAGCTGCAGTGGGGGTGAGTTAGGCAGTCTGGTCAGGACACAGCCAGGTGCAGGCTCTGGCCTTCCTAATCCAAGGGTAAAAGAAGGCCTCTTGTTTGAGATTTACATTGTCACCTGCAGAGCCTGACTCAGCTCACTGAAGAAGCACCATTTACCAAGTCCCTCCTAACGCCAGAGTCCACGCATCCTGGGACCCCAGGACCACGGCCCTCCTCCCCCCCAGCACGCTCCTGCCCAGTGTTGCCAGGAATTCCGGCACACACCTGTTTTCCAGTTTGGTGCCTTGGGGCAGCAGGTAGTCCTAAGCTGCTGAGGGGCCTTGCAGTTAGGGATCCATCTCCCTGGTCCACTAGACCAGGGGTCCTCAAACTTTTTAAACAGGGGGCCAGTTCACTGTCCCTCAGACCATTGGAGGGCCGGACTATAGTTAAAAAAAAAACTATGAACAAATTCCTATGCACACTGCACATATCTTATTTTGAAGTAAAAAAAACAAAACGGGAACAAATACAGTATTTGTATTTGCATGTGGCCCATGGGCCGTAGTTTGAAGTCCCCTGCACTAGATCCTCCAAGATCTGCCAGTGCAGTTGAGCGCTTCTGGCCCTGGACAGTTGGCACCCGGGGCAGAGGCACCACTACCATAAGTGTGACCAGGTTGTCTGCCTCCCCTTGGAGACCAGAGCACAGAGGGTTTTAGGAGGCAACTATCGCTGCAGGCAGAGGAGATGGACGCACCCAGGGAAGGGACCGAGCTGGGCAGGACCCCGTGGGGGAGGTCCGTAGGGGGAGTCGGGGTGCCGTACTTAAGATCCCTGGATGTGTTTAAGCAAAAATGAGCAGTTTCTGTTTGTAGGTGGACTGGCATTCCCCGCGGGGCTTTTGGGATGGGGGCTCGGGTTCTCTCTGTGGAACCCGTGTATTTCTCATCTGTAGGATGGGCTCAGGACCTCTGTCTTGCAGAGGGACTCGGAAAGCAGTCGGTGAGCTGGTGAGCAGCAGCTGTGTGCCCTGGTCAAGAGCCTCCACTCAGGGAGCCTGGTCTTGTCCTGTAGAAAGGGGACAGTCCCACATTCTCCCCACCAGGTCGTTGGGAGGAGTAGGGGAGCCCATTGGTGAAAGCGTGAGGACATGGACATGGTATTATGTAAAGGCACCTGTCTTCCGACATGCTGGGCCTTGTTTGGTGTCTGCTGACCTAGTGACTCACCAGGTGTCCTTTCCTCTCCCCATTTTCTCTCATAGCATTTTTATTGAGATACAGTTCACATACCGTGTAGTCCACTCATTTAAAGTGTACATTTTAGTGGTTTTTAGCATAGTCGCAGGGTTGTGGAAATGTCATCACTATCTGACTCCAGACAATTCCATCACTCCTGTCCGAATTAGCAGTCACCCTCCCTTACCTCCCCCAGCCCCTGGTAATCAGGAATCTACTCCCTGTCTCTGTGGATTTGTTTGTTCTGAACATCTTACATAAATGGAATCACACACTATGTGGCCTTTTGTGTCTGGCTTCTCTCACAAGCATCATGTGTTCAAGGGTCCTTCTGCCCTGTGGTGAGTGTCAGTGCCTCATTCCTTTCCATGGCCGAGTAATATTCCAGTGTATTCACGGGCCACATTGTGTTTATCATCGGTTGGTGGACACCCATTGCATCCACCTTTTGGCCGTTGTGAATCCTGCTGCTGTGAAGACGTGTGTACAGGTTTCTGGGTGGATGTGGGTGTTCAGTTTTTCTGGGGTCATGCGTATGAGTGGAGGGAAGTTGCTGGGTCAGATGGTGGTCATCCTGTGATACTTATCCGTCCTCTCTAGGGCCCAGCCAGACGCGTCCCAAAGGCAGCCTCCATTATTTGTCGTTTGTTTTGTTTTGGTTAGACAGAGGTTGCACTTTTAGAAGGACAGGTCAGGCTGTGTTTGCTGTACAGACAGTGAGAACGTCTGTGGTCCAGGGAAGGCCGTGTGGGGCGTGGGATCCTGGGCATGGTGTGTGCTCGGAGCAGATTTCAGAGTTGGCATTAGGGACTCTACTGTGGGCGCTGCCCAGCACAGGCATTGTGGGCACATGAGGGCCATTTTTCATGAGTTCCACTTTTCGTGGCTGCCGCTGGCACCCTAGTTCAGTATGTTTGTCAAACCGGTATTGTGAGCCTAGAACACATTGTGGTGGGCCAGGATCTTACGTCCCCTCTGAAGGGCCTGGCTGATAAATAAATGAGGGCACATGGAGCTTAGGCGTAGGCCGCGGGGCATGTCATGAGCAGTAAAAGCCGACTGTTGTAAAACGATTTCAACACTTGCTTGTCCACAGGGAAGAGGAAGGAGGGGCTGGCCTACTCCAGGTCCTCAGCTGGGCAGTGTGTTCTGGCCGGGCAGCTGCATCTGAGCTCCTCCTGAATCCAGTTGAGGTTATCTGTGATTTATCTCTAACATTCGCCAAGGCAGCCCTGACCAATGGGAATAAGAAGCTCATACATACTGTTAAGTTTTTTAGAAACCATGTTTTTAAAAAGTACAAAGTAACAGGTGCAATTAATTTTAATACTGTTTAATTAACCTAAAACATGTAGTGTCATCACTACAACACTTAGTCAATATAAAAACAATTCATGAGATAGTTTACGTTCTTGTCTTTGTATTAAGTTTCCAAGATCTAGTGTGCATTTTTGCTCACAGCACATCTCAAAGAAAAAGGAAAAAATAAAAAGTCAATGGCGGTTTAAACTTTGCAAATCAAGAGCTGGTACATGACTGAGTGAGAACATGACCAGTGATGCATTTTACTTGGGCTGGGGCTCTCGGATGAGCCCTCAGATTCAGCACACTCCTAGGATGGACTCCTCGGCTCACCCAGGCCTCCTGTGGCTGACAGATGATGCTCTGCTCCAATCTCTGTCTCCCACAGTCGGAGCCCTGCCAAGGATGGATCCCCTGGGCTGCACGAAGCAGTGTGAGGATAAGAAGGCCGAGAGCCCAAATCAAGAGCCTGCGCTGTGGCAAGCCCTTCCTGTTCTGTCCGAGCAGCAGTCCAGGGACGTGGAGCTGGTGCTGGCCTACGCCGCACCCATCCTCGACAAGCGCCAGACTTCACGTCTCCTCAAGGAGGTGTCAGCCGTCCACCCACTGCCTGCACAGCCTCACCTTAAAAGGGTTCGCCCGAGCCCTGATGGTGGCCGTCCACACGTGCTGGAGATGCTGCTGTGCCTGGCAGAGCCCGCTGCAGGCACTCGATCGCTGGCTGAGCTCCTCCCACATCCAGCAGTGGATCCCCGAGGCCTGGGACAGCCCTTCCTGGTGCCTGTGCCTGCCTGGCCACCCCTCACCAGGGGCCAGTTTGAGGAGGCGCGTGCCCATTGGCCCACATCCTTCCATGAGGACAAGCACGTGACCCGTGCCCTGGCCGGGCAACTTTTCTCAGCACAGGAGCAGGCTGAGATGCAGGGCCACATGGAGCGGGCTATACGGGTGGCGCAACAGGCAGCTACCAGGGGCCTGAGGGCTGTGGGGGCTGTGGTAGTGGACCCGGCCTCAGGCCAGGTACTGGCCACGGGCCATGACTGTAGCAGCTCAGCCAGCCCCCTGCTGCATGCCACCATGGTGTGCATTGACTTGGTGGCCCAGGGCCAGGGTCAAGGCACCTATGACCTCAGGCCCCACCCGGCTTGTTCCTTCACCCCAGCCTCAGCCCCCCAGGGTGTCCAGGCCATCTCTATGCACACACTGGATAAGGACATGGACGTGGATGATAACGGCCTCCCCTATGTGTGCACCGGCTACGACCTCTACATTACCCGCGAGCCCTGTGCCATGTGCGCCATGGCCCTGGTGCACTCCCGTGTGCAGCGTGTCTTCTATGGGGCACCCTCTCCTGATGGTGCCCTGGGCACCCGCTTCCGCATCCATGCGCGACCTGACCTCAACCACCGTTTCCAGGTGTTCCAGGGTGTGCTGGAGGCCCAGTGCCGCCAGCTGGACCCTGACACATAGGTGCCAAGCTTGCTGGCTCCAGACCGTTCTCTGCTCTGCCAGCCTCAGCCTCCTCACAGACCCTCTTGGGCCCTGGCTCCCTCATTGTCTAAGGGCTGCGATCCTGCCTGTGGATTTCAGGGACGTGCCTCCCAGCCGTGGAACGCGTGCCTACACTATCTTCGTTGGTGTGTGGTGCTGCATTTCTGCTAGACCAAGCTTTTCCCGGGGCTGGAGCACAATGGGGCCCAGCCGGGCCTCATCGCTGGGCATGCAGGCTTCCCTCCTTCTGCCGCCTTCACCCTGCGTCCACGGGTCTGCTGGGATTGTATCCCCTTATTCTCAAGTCTGACCCATGAAAATAAACTCGGCCCTTAAACCAGGTTGGTGTCTGTTGACAATTGTGGGGCTGCCTCCATCGAGGGCCTTTGTGTACACAGCTGGAGGGGAGCTTCTGAATCAAATGTGACCAGAGCTCTGCCCGAGTTGAGTTGTGGGTCTGGAAGAGTGTTGCTGGCTAGGGTGTGTCTGGACTCAGCTGATGGAAAGGCTCCTTTGGGCTGTCCCATTTCCGCTCCATCTCAGGTGGCCCGAGGAGTCCCCAAAGGCCCACTGCCAGAGCAGTCAGCACCAGAACCAGGTTGTTTGTTTGGGACTTGGAGCAGGCTGTTTGTCCGTCCAGCAACCATGCGCTGACCACAAAGGCACTTCAGGGATTCCAGGATATCCCTGTCCCAGGCGATGCTCAGGCTCCTGGGGACGCTCCCATCTTGTGGGGGCAGGGCAGGCGGGGGCTCCACCTGCGAGCCAGTGCAGTGGCCAGACATGGGTGGGGCATGAGCCTGCCTGCCTGCAGGGAGAGCCAGCCAGGGCATGACAGAGGGTCCCGGGAATATCGCTAAGCTGAGGGATGGTCTCCATGGAATTCAGTATCACTGGAACCTTCTTGCCTGGACTAGGCGAGGAATATTCCTAGCGCTTAGCCTCAAGCATGGCTCCTGCCCCCCTCTGGTGCCAAGGGTCCCCTGGAGCTTCACTTGGGTTGCAGTGGGGTCCTCAGTTTTGCAAGGCTCATGGGGCAAAAACTACAGACCAGATTGTGTGAACCCAGTCGTGGTGATTTGGCAGTTGGGCACTGCAGCCGTAATGAGGCACTCGGAGCTGTCTGTGGATAAAAGGTGGGGAGGATGAGGTGGCAGGAGGGCAGTAGGCGTGGTCACTGGGATCCCAGAAATGTCCTGGCTCCAGGCTTGCCTGTGGATGGCAGGGGCTGCCGTCTAACCCTTTCCCTCCCACCATGGCAGATGCTGCCCAGAGGTGAAGTGATGACACATTTGGTGACACGTTTGGGCTGTCCTTCCAGGCGTGAGCCCAGACACCCCTGTGGATAGCCTGGAGGTTAGGACTCCAGCCACCGCAGTGGCACAGGCTACCGCTGGTGTCAGGGTCACCTGGCAGCCAAGGTGACTGTTGCTGTTTCCCCTCCAGGTGGCTGCAGGCTTCAGCCTCATCAGGCCATCACATTGGAAATGCCAGGTGAGTCTTTCCTGGGCGCCCTGGGGGTTTGTGTCTCGGTTCCTCGGGGAAGTGCCCTCGGGTGGCCAGACCCTTTAGGACCACTGTAGGCGCCCACCTCACATTCCTCCTCCCATGATGGCTGTTGGAGTCGCCTCCTGGCACTGAGGGGGTCACAGGGAGGCACAGTTTCTTTTCTTTTCTTTTTAAAAATTGATTAGAGAGAGAGAAGAGAAACATGGATTGATTGCCTCCCATACATACCCCAACCGGGGATTGAATCCACAATCGAGGTGTGTGCTCTGACCGGGAGTGGAACCTGAAACCTTTTGGTATATGCGATGACGCTCCAACCAATTGAGCCACCCAGCCAGGGTTGCTGCTGCTTTCTTTAAAAACTTTATTTTTATAGCGTTCAGTTTCCACATGGGGTGTCAGCTGGTGTTCAGCGTGGCCAGGCCTTCTGCCTGGGGCTCGTTTTATTGACACCACAGGTGGGCACTGAGGTTTGTCACCTGGGTTCATGCCTATACACATAAGATGACGCCCTCATTTCCTCGTGAAGTCTGCAGTGAGCCCCCAGGGTGGCCTGCCTGGTCCTGCGTGAAAACAGAGGCAGAACGTATACTGAAGTTTGGTGGCCCCTGGTCACCCTGCTGGTGGCAGAACTGGGATTGGAACCCAGGCCCATGGGTTCCAAGTCAACGCAAAATGTTTGGCCAAGAAAACAGGGTTTCAAGGAGCCTCAAGATTCAGCCAGTTTTCTGTCTCCTTCCCATCACAGCACGTGCTGGTGGGACTGACTGTTGCAAACACTCTGTTCTTGTTTTGGGGGTTGGATGTCAGTCAGGCAGGGAAAGGGGTGCCCTGCCTTGTCCTGGGAGCCAAGGGACTAGGGAATGGATAGCTGGGTGGGGACTGTTGGTGGGGCCTTGGGTAGCATAGGTCGGGCACTATGAGTGAGGTTAGTGACCAGAGCTGGGGGGATCCCTCTGGGTGGGCTCACTGGAAGGCAGAAGGCTGGAAACCCTGCCTCTCATGGTCTCCTAGAGCAGTGGTCGGCAAACCGCGGCTTGCGAGCCACATGCGGCTCTTTGGCCCCTTGAGTGTGGCTCTTCCACAAAATACCACGTGCGGGCGCGCACATACAGTGCAAAGTTGACTTAAAACTTAAAGTTTATTAAGTTAATTTTAGGGAACGTTGTGGAGTGAAAGAAGATGTAGTGTCGAGGATTGAGAAAGGTATGTTGAGATGGTTTGGACATATAGAGAGGATGAACGAAAGGAGATAGACGAAACAAGTATACAAGACGAGTGTGGATGGGAGAGTTGGAAGGGGACGACCTCAGCGAATGTACCTCAATCATATTGAGGACGTTTTTACCAAAGGCCAGCTTAGGAGTGCCCTAATTAAGTTAATAACAATGTACCTACCTATATAGTTTAAGTTTAAAACATTTGGCTCTCAAAAGAAATTTCAATCGTTGTACTGTTGATATTTGGCTCTGTGGATTAATGAGTTTGCCGACCACTGCCCTAGAGAGTCAGGCAGGTCAGGACACTTCTGGCTTCTGTGTTACTTGGTAAATGTCTGAGGCTTTTCGGTGGCCAACAAGGTGTGGCTACTCCAACCTTCTCCTTCCTCCAGCCTCTGATCTTACTGCTCCAAGACAGGTAGGACCGCACCTCAGGGCCTTGCACTGGCAGCATCCTCCTCCGAATCCGCTGAACGCCCTTCTTCACTTTCTTGAGTCTTTGTTCAAATGCCACCCTGACCCTGCTTTTAGGTCAAAGCGGACACTCCTAGCACTGCCCTGCTAGCCCCCACCTGCCCTGGTGGTTCCTCTTTACAGCACCCAGCATGCCTCAGCTCTCCACCTAGATACCCACCTGTCACAGTGATTGTTGGCCCCCTGTGGGATGGAGCCCGAGGACAGGGCTCCGTGTGTGTTGTCTTTTGTTACCTGGCGGGTACTCAGGAAGCATGCCCATGGCAGTGGGGTGAAGTGGAAGGACACTGAGAGGCAACAGGGCAGCACTGACTTTACCATGCTGTTGGTCAAGTCATGTCTCCAAAAAGACATGTTCAAGTCCTGACCCCTGGTACCTGGGATTGGAACCTATCTCATTTGGAAAGAGAGTCTTTGCAAGGGTGTTAGTTAAAATGGGTCACACTGTGGTAAGGTGTTCCTAATGCAAGGACAGGTGTCCTTATAAGAAAAGGGGAATTGGAACACTAACACAGGAGGAGGCTATGTGACCATGAAGGCAGACACTGGGGTGATGTGCCCACAATCCAAGGATCCCTAGAGCCCCCAGAAGCTGGTAGAGGCTGGAAGGACCCTTCCCTGGAGCCTTTCAAGGGAGCGTGGACCTGGGACACCTTGATCTCTGACCTCTGGCTTCCATATTATAAGAGGAAAAATCTGTTGTTTTAAACCCCCAGTGTGTGGCTGTTTGTTATAGGATGCTCACAAATTCCAAGTGCCAGAACCTTCCCTGGCGACAGGTGTTAACAGTATCTGGGTTCTGCCTATGAGCCTGTGTGAGTGTCCTGTGAAAACAGGCTTTACCGGGAGTCTAACAGACTAACTCATGTGGCTAAACCCAGTGTGGGCTAGTCCTTCCGTTTGCAGCCTTTCCAGTTTCTTCGAGGCGCCACATCCCTGGCTGTGGCCCCTCCTCCATCTTCACAGCCAGCAGCTCAGCCTCTTCCATCTCTGCCTCTGACCCTCTTGCCTCCCTCTTAAGAGGACCCTGTAAGGACACTGGGTCCCCCCGGGAATCTGGGGTCGTGCCCATCCTAGGGGCTTTGATTTAATCCATCTGCAAAGTCCCTCTGCCGTGTGAGGCAGCATGTCTGCAGGTCCCAAGAACAGGACAGGGACATCTTTGGGGCCTTCACTGTGCTGCCCCCAGCATGGCTTAGTCCCACAGTGTTCTGTGTCCCCATAGAAAAGGAGAACAACTTCCCGCCGCTGCCCAAGTTCATCCCTCTGAAGCCTTGTTTCTACCAGAACTTCTCCGACGAGATCCCCATTGAGCATCAGGTCCTAGTGAAGAGGATCTACCGGCTGTGGCTGTGTGAGCAGTGGGGTTGGCTGGGGGGTGGGGTGGGGGGCTCCCCACACCACTGCAGAGACCCAGGCCAGGCCCAGGTCATGAAGCTGCCCCATCCTCGGGCTGGGAGAGCTTGAGGTTTTTGTAGTAACTCTCCTTTCTGATAAAATTCTGTCCCGGAGGCGGCATGGTGTGATGGACAGAACAGGTGGGCTGCTGGGCAGGAACCTTTGTCTCCCTGAGCCTTCTCTGGCCTTTGGTCCCTGTGTTGTGGGGTGGAGGTGCCCTAACCCCCAAACCCCGGCTGAAGCCTCCTTGTCTCCCCTATCCAGTCTACTGCACCACACTGGCAGTCAACCTCGTCGCCTGCCTGGCCTGGTGGATCGGAGGTGGCTCAGGAGCCAACTTTGGCCTGGCCCTGGTCTGGCTGCTGCTCTTCTCCCCTTGTAGCTATGTGTG